AGAACCACTGATGTAGCAGCTAAACTCCTGGGGTTAGAAACCAGGCGACTGAATTCTAGTTCTGCCTTAGACAAAGAAACCAGCTGGATGACTTTGGGTCGGTCCCTCTCTCTTGGCCCAGCCCACTTCATAGGATTGGTGCTTCTCAATCTTAGCGATCTTAAGTTGTGTGGGCTTCAACTCCCAGAATTTCCTAGCCAGTTGGGGAATTCTGGGAGTTGAAGTTCATAGTCTTAAGTTGCCAAGGTTGAAAAACAGTGTTGAGAGAAATAGAAGATGAGACCATTAGTTACAACGCCTTGAATTGCACAAATAAAAGTGCGATACGAAGCTTATAATATATGGGAATAAGTTCCTCTGAAGTGCTTTAGGGCTCAAAGAACCTCTTTTTTTAAAGGACTAAGATTAGGGGCAAAATGGAAGGTTGGGCTTAATTACTGCCAGCATCCCTTTTAATCATGTTAATAACAGGAACAGTAATAAAGCTGTTTGTGCCTTGGATAACTGGACTCTTTTCTTTTTTTATCCTGGATTCCTCCGGAGGTCTGAAGGAGGGCAGACAGAGACTTAGATAAGTTAATGCTGATGTTCAGGGTATTATTGGAACAGTGATGTGCTAATGATAATAATGAAGGACCAGTGCAAGCATGCTAGAAAGGGATCTATGCATGTAAATAAATCTGTTTCTCCCCATTACAACTAGTCCTCAAATTACAACAGTTCATTTAGTGACAGTTCAAAGGCACTGAAAAAAGTGACTTATGACCGTTTTTCACACTTATGACTGTTGCAGCATCCTCATGGTATACGTGGTCACTGGAACAAAATTCAGATGCTTGGCAACCGACTCATGTTTATGACGCTTGCACTGTCCTGGGGTCACGTGATCACCTTTTGCAACCTTCTAACAAGCAAAGTCAATGGGGAAGGCAGATTCACTTAACAACTGTGTTACTAACTGAGCAACTGTAGTAATTCACTTAATCGTGGCAAAAAAATGGGGCAAAATTCACTTAGCAACTGTTTTGCTTAGCAAAAGAAATGTTGGGCTCCGTTGTGGTTGTAAGCTTGATTTTATCTTCTTGCATATTTTTTCTCCTTACTTTCCTTTTTTCCAAGTTAAAGAGCCCACAGTTATTTATAAAACATTACCAATAGCTTTACATTTTTCTGTTTTTACTGCATGTATATATTGTGTTATCGTTTGGTTGTGAATCGCCCAGACTTCGGCTTTAAGATGCGTGGCCATACAAATGTATTTATTTGTTTTTTTATCCCTCTTTTATTAATTGACAAGTAACTCAAGGTGGTGAATATATCTAATACTGCTTCCTCCTCCTATTTTCCTTACAACTACAATCCTGTGAGGTGGCTTGGGCTGAGAAAGAGTGACTGGCCCAAAGTCACCCAGCCGCCTTTCAAACAACAACAACAACAACAACAACAATAGTAGTAGTAATAGTAGTGTTGGAAGGGACCTTGGAGGTCATCCAGTCCAACCCCCTGTTCAGGCAGGAAACCCTATACCAGGGGTAGGCAACCTCGGCTCTTTTATGACTCATGGACATCAACTCCCAGAATTCCTGAGTCAGCTATGCTGACTCGGGAATTCTGGGAGTTGAAGTCCATGAGTTATAAAAGAGCCGAGGTTGCCTACCCCTGCCCTATACCATTTCAGACAAATGGCTGTCCAGTCTCTTCTTAAAAACCTCCAGTGTTGGAGCATTCACAGCTTCTGGAGGCAGGTTGTTCCACTGGTTAATTGTTCTAACTGTCAGGAAATATACCTAAGGTGGGATTAGAACTCACAGTTTCCTTGCAGTTGGCCCAGTGAGTCAGAGAAACCTGCTCATTAAGAATAAGGAATGAAATGGAAATGATTATGTAATAGAAAAATAGGCCATATCAAGGAAAGGTTAGGGCTGTAGCAGTACAGTATCTGTTGACTGATAGGGGTGCTTCCTCTTGGTTTAGCTAGTCTGAGGGAGGGCCAGCCATCAGAATGAAGGATGAATCAGACAAAAATCTTGTTATGCTTCAACCATGTAGTACACTGAAGTAGAATTATACAACTATTCATTCTAAGCATCTGTTCAAAATTACAATAGCACTGAAAAAAGTGAGTTACAGCTAGTCCTCATAGACACGGGATCAAAATTTGGGAGTTGGCAACTGGCGTGTATATACAAAGTTTGCGACATCCTGGGGCCATTTGCGATCTTTCCAGCTGGCCTCCAACAAACAAATCAATGGGGGAAAGCTGGATCCTCTTAACAACTGGGTAATTCGCTCAATTGCAGTGATTCATTTAACAGCGGTGGCCAAAAAAGTCATAAAATTGGGTGCAACCCTAACAATCACCTTGCTTAGCAGTGGAAATTCTGGTCGAAACTGTGGTTATAAGTCGAGGACCGCATGTATGTGAAAAGGAATAATATTGCAGCTAATTCACAAAATTCGAAGCATTTAAGCTGCAGCAAAGTTCTCTTGATTTTTGTTCCGTATTGTCTGACAAGTTCAATATACTTCTATGCCCTGAAGAAAGAAAACTTTCATGCTTTTAATTGTAATCTCACAGTTTTGCTGTTTTTCTGATGTCAGACTTGCATCTCACAAGTGTGTAGAATCTCTCTCGAAGTCCCAAACCTTTCTGTGAATGTATTCCTGTGCTGACTTGATTCTTAAAACAGTGTTTCTCAACCTCAGCAACTGTACGGTGAGTGGACTTCAGCTCCCAGAATTGATGTTGCAGGCTGGGGAATTCTGGGAGTTGAAGTCCAATCATCTTCAAAGTTGCCAAAGTTGAGAAAAGCTGATCTGAGTGACAGCATCTCAGTTACAGAACTCTCCCCTCATCCCCACCACTAATCTTCTTTCTCAAGGTCCCTTATGTTCAGCCAACTATTTCAGGGCAGAAGTCCTTTAAGCTTTCTTGAAACAGATAATCCTCAAAGTTACGACTATAATGAAGCCTGCCCATCTCAGTAGGAACCTGAGACAGCCGTTAAACAGGTCTGTCATGTGACCAACCTGATTTTATGAGCTTTTTGCAGTGCTTGTTGAGCAAATCCACGGCTAAGCAAACCAGTGGTTTGCTAGGGCATGGTTTTGCTGAAAACTGGACATAAATGTTGTTTTTTGGGAAAACCATCGTGAAACACAATCATGTCACTACAGGATGCCGCAAGCAGCCGTATTCAGCCACTCACACACTCTCAGGCCAACCCACCTCACAGGGTTGCTGTTGATGGGAAAATAGGTGGAGGATTGTATGTTGGATATGTTCACTGCCTTAAATTATCTGTAAAAGCAATAAAGGCAGAATACAAATAAAGAGATCCTGTTGCCAAGATCCCAAAGTGTGGTCACATGTCTGCCGGGGAGTGGAGGTGCATCCATTGGAACTTTGGATCTGGATTGCAAATACCCCCCAGGCAGGTCCGTTGGAACTTCAGATGGTCCCCAAGTAACCAGTCATAAGTTGAAGACTCTCTGTACTAATTTTGTTGGGTTTTTTTTTTATTAAAAGTTTTATAAAAGTTTTACAATATAATTACCCCCCTCTCCAAAACCCTCCCNAAATGGAACTTTTTGGTCCCATATTTCTTCTCAATATAATCTATCCATCTTCTCCAAACCGAAATATATCTTTCTTGTGAATAGTCCTTCACATAAGCGGAAATCTTGGCCATTTCTGCTAAATTTGAGACTTTAAGTGACCATTCTTCTATAGTGGGCAGACGTTCCGTTTTCCAATATTGAGCTACTAGTAGTCTTGTAGCCGTTATAAGATTCAACATCAAATTCATTTCTCTAACATCCAAATCTTCCATAATACCTAACAAAAATATCTGCGGTGTAAACTTTATCTTTTTCTTAAAAACATTTTGAATATTCCACCAAATTTTAATCCAAAATGCTTTTATTTCCCTACATGTCCACCAAATATGAAAATAAATTGCATCTAAATTTCCACATCTCCAACACTTTTTGTTGGTTTTAAAGTGATTTTTGTCCTTCAAGTTTGTAATTCCTGCTTGGGATGGTTTAGTTTGCTTCCCTTCCCATAAAATCCTCTGGGTTTTTACTAGGATAAAGAGGAAATAAATAATTCAGAGCTTATGTGGCAGTGAACTTGTTAGCTCGCTGAAGCTTTTCATTGTCGTTTAGGATTTCTGTTTGGATTGTACTATGCTTATTTACCTTTGGGATGAATGCTACCATTTAACTGTAAACATTACCTTAGGCAGGGGTAGGCAACCTTGGCTCTTTTATGACTCGTGGACTTCAACTCCCAGAAATCCTGAGCCAGCATGGAGGAATTCTGGGAGTTGAAGTCCACGAGTCATAAAAGAGCCAAGGTTGCCTACCCCTGCCTTAGGGGACCTCTTCTGGTGTCTTGTTTCCAGCCACAGCTAGCCTATTTGCCTATTTAAAATCTGGTCTTCAGAGATAGATTGCTTCTGCACATGGAGGCTCTGCTACAGTGATGGCGAACCTTTTAGAGACCGAGTGCCCCAAAACTAGCCCCGCCCCTGCTCCACCCCCTGCCCCGCCCCACCCTGCCTGTCCGCAGGGCCACTCACCGCCTTCAGGGCCCGCCGTAGATCGCTCAGGCAGCCCAGCAGCGCCATGGCGGCCACACCCTCTACCCGCGCCCCACAGCATCAACTGTGCGCAATGGGGCATGAGGGGGCAGAGTCTTGTCTATGCTGCCTGGCTGCCATGTCCTTGGCTGCGCTGGCTGCGCTGCTCCGTGTGGGCCAACTCTGCGCTGCTCGGGGGCAACTCTCCTCCAAGGGGGCTGCTGGTGAGGAGGGGGTCGCGGGGGGAGGCAAGGCTGGGCAACGGCACATGTGCCCACAGAGGGGGCTCCGAGTGCTGCCTCTGGCACGCATGCCATAGGTTCGCCACCACTGCTCTAGTACCACCAGCTCCTGAGAGTAACCAAAATAACCATCTCTCTTTGTCTCTCTCCCTGCCTTTTTTTCTCTTTGTAGGTGAGCGTCCGTTCCCATGCAATTGGGCCGGCTGCCAGAAGAGGTTTGCACGCTCGGATGAGTTAGCCCGCCACTTCCGCACCCACACCGGCGAGAAGCGGTTTGCCTGCCCACTCTGCGAGAAGCGGTTTATGCGGAGCGACCACCTGACCAAGCACGCCCGCCGCCACCCAGCTTTCCAGCCTGGCATGGTCCGACGATCTGATTGCTACCGAGCCTCCCCTACTGACTCAGCTGGCAGCAGCTTGGCCGGAAGCCCCGCCCCTGGCAGCCCTGCCTCTGACAGCCCCGCCCCTTAAAGGGGGCATGCCACCCTGTTTCTTGTCCTTCCCACACCTGGCCTCTAGGGGGAGACCAGGTACTATTTCAGAGGCATTTTTTTGATTCAGAAACTTGGTTTCCCCATCACTTCCAGTTATGGTTTAATATGCCTTATTTCAGAAAAAAAAAGCTCCTTCTTGTGCTTGGTGGGCATTTTGATTATTGTACAAATCCCTCTCCCTGCTTGCTTCCAAGCTGTAGCCTCTATGCACATTCCCATCCCACCCAAGCTGAGGATGGCAGGATTTGTGGAAACTAACAACAAACATAAACTTTGTTGATGTTCCTTTGGAACATCCGTTGTGGCCCCCAGTCAGGGGCTAACAGATGATTTCCTAGCCCTTGGTCAAAGAGATAGTCCCAACATCACTTTGCCTCTGTTTTCCAGCTGCAAAGAGACTTTATTCCAGGGGTATGCAACCTTGGCAGCGTTTAAGACCGATGGGAGTTGAAGTCCACAGGTCTTAAAATTGCCCAGATTGGACACCCCTGCTTTATTCCAAGGTCTGTGCTTGGTATTGTTGGAACTGCTCATCTCAACCCTTCCCTATCATGCTGAGAATGCTGATTTTCACATTCATTGTAGCCCTCAGGAAATGAAAGTACCTTGTTTCACTTAGCTTTAAGTCTCTCTTTCTGGCCAACCTACAGATAAAGGAGAAACTATTGACTCTTCACATTTAGAAAGAGACTGTGGTGGAAACTGCTCTCTATGATTTTTGGCCCTCTTGTGTTCAACAATCAGAATTAAATTGCCTCTGAGTAGGGAGGGACCATCTTTAGCCATCAAGGCTAACAGCAAAACATATGAAATCATGGCTTTCTATCTTGTCTCCCCATTCCTGGCCTAAATTGATTGTCTGCAAACCATCTTTTGGGGAAATGTTCAAGTTGACGTAGGCCCTTTGACACTAGAACTGCAGCAAAAGTGGGAAATGATTCTTTTTTCCCCACAGGGAAATTGGGTGTTGGTAACTAACTTTTTGACCTGATACTGTATGTAAATATATATTTCCCCCCCCCAGGTCAACTTTACTTAAGGTAAAAAAGATGAGGACCTGTTTCTACGGGTGTATCTGTTTCAGGGTGTGTGCGTGCGTGCGCGTGTGTGTTTATGGTTTTTATAAAATAATGTATTTATTCCTTTAAAGATAGAATGTAGGAGACCAGTGGTAAAGTTTTATTGTCTGAATGGTTGGCACATGGATGAACTAAACCTGAAAGGAATGGGATTTTTAGTATGACTCAGGACACCTAAAAGCACTTTTTCTCACTTTCATGGGGCTGTGGCAACTGCTCTGCACAGCTGTACACCAGGCAAGTGTGTATGTGTGTGTGTTCCTTGTTTAAAAATGGATGCTTTAATGCTTTTGGTGATGATGGTTCTTTGCAAGCTGTCAGGTGTCTCTCAACAAGGCTAGGCAGGAAGCAGGCCTAAGCAGGCATTTGAGGACACAAAGCTCCAGTAAGTAGATTTATGGTGGAAAAATGAATGCAGCCATTATGAAAGAATTTCAGTGATTGCTCTTTATTAAATGCAAAGTACGTGTATTGTGAAATCCAGCTTTATTTTCTGGTGGCTTCTAGTGCCCATAAGGCGTAGCTGGTGTGAAGCTGCTGGTCTAGTATCAGGCTGTTTGCTTCGGATTTGGAGAGAATTGGCTCTTATATAAAAGCATCTTTGATTTCCTTCAGTGCTCTGCTTCTGAAAACGTAAATCCATTTATGCAGACATGGCTGTCTTTGCACTTGCATTTTGAGAACAAGCCATGCTGTCACCATTCTCAGCCTGGCAAATAAGGTGGAATGGAATAATGGGATCTGAGCAGAGGTGCCACTTAGATGTTTCAAGGGATAGCAATAGAAGGAACTGGGAAGCAAAAAGCAGGAGGGATCAGATGTTGCCATATTAATGAGTCTTCCCCTTGGCCAGGGGGAAGGCAACCTTGGCTCTTTTATGACTCGTGGACTTCAATTCCCAGAATTCCTGAGACAGCATGGCGCAGCTTGGAAACCTCTCCCTTTCCCCTCAACATGGCTGGCTCAGGAATTCTGGGAGTTGAAGTCCACGAGTCATAAAAGAGCCAAGGTTGCCTACCCCTGCCCTTGACAATACAGGTAGTTCTCGACGTACAACAGTTCATTTGGTGACCGTTCGAAGTTAAAACGACCCTGGAAAAAGTGACTTATGAACATTTTTCACACTTATAACCGTGCAGCTATCCCCATGGTCACGTGATCAAAATCCAGATGCTTGGCAACTGACTCATATTTATGATGGCCGCACAGTCCCGGGGTCATGTGATCACCTTTTGCGACCTTCTGACGAGCAGAATCGACGGGGAAGCCAGATTAGCAACTGTGTTACGCAACAACTGCAGTGATTCATTTAACAACCATGGCAAGAAAGGCTGTTGTAAAATGGAGCAAACTTCACTTAATAACTGTCTCATTTAGCAACATAGATTTTGGGCTCAGTTGTGGTCGTAAGTCAAGGACTATACTGTGCAGGTAGCCCTCAGCTTAGGACCACAATTAGAACTGGAACATTCATGGTGAAGCGATGTAGTTGTTTAAGTGAGGCATCCCTTAAACAGGCATTTTACATCTTTTTTGCCATGGTTATTAAGTGAGTCATTGTGGTTGTTAAGCGAGATATCACATGGCCACTTGCGAGCATGCCCGCTGGCTTCCCCCATTGACTTTGCTTGTCAGAAGCCAGCTAGGAAGGTTGCAAATGACCCTGGGATGCTGCAGGGGTCATAAGTGCAGTTGCCAGGCAACCAGATTGTGATTATGTGACCGCTTGGCTTGCTGCAGTGGTTGTAAGTGTGAGGACCGGTCATAAGTCACTTTTTTCAGCGCAATTGTAAATTTAAAAACAGTTTACTTACAAATGGTCGTAAGTAGAGGACTACCTGTAACTTAGGCTAACCCTGACAGCAATCTTTCGCTTGGGTTGACTCCAGCTTCTAAAGCAGGAGTCCCCAACCTTGGCAGCTTTAAGATTTGTGGACTTCAACTCCTAGAATTCCCCAGCCAGCTATGCTGGCTGGGGAATTCTGGGAGTTGAAGTCCACAAATCTTAAAAAGTTGCCAACATTGGGGACCCCTGTTCTAAAGTTCCTAGTCTGGGAGGGGAGGGGAATGGTTAAGGATTGTCTGATTGGGACAGTGAGGATTACAAAGCAATTGAGGTAAGCGGAATGGTAACTGGGGAGAAGAGAATGTACACAAAGTAGCCCAGGAAATAACATCCAACCTGGTTTAACTTGAAATAGGAACCCAACTGGAGTAGCATTTAAATCTTGTGTCTTCAAATGCAGCCCTGTGGACTGATTCCAGGATGCACTGCCCCATCCTTATTTATTTGAACTCAGGACCCCATTGATCCTAGGCCTTACAGATTTCCAGTGGTCAGAAGCAATGGCAGGACGGAGAATTTATGGTATTGGAAAGAGGCTCTGTAGCCAATGAGTTAATCCACAACTGTCCATTGCAAGAAAGCAATCTGGATATCCAGCGTAGAGTTCACTGGTGCGTTTGATCATTGGTTCCAGACCAGGGGTAGGCAACCTTGGCTCTTTTATGACTTGTGGACTTCAACTCCCAGAATTCCTGAGCCAGCATGGCTCAGCATGGAAATCTCTCCATTTCTCCTCAGCACAGCTGGCTCAGGAATTCTGGGAGTTGAAGTCCATGAGTCATAAAAGAGCCAAGGTTGCCTACCCCTGTTCCAGACTGATCATTGCTCTTGACATAAGGAAGGCTTTCTTATCATTGAACAAAAATATGCTTTTGCATAAGTTTAAGACCATTTTTTTTGTGTCCTGGCACTGTAGGAAAATAAAACGAGGTTAGATGTCTTCTTTCGCTTGAATAACTTCTGCTCTAGAAGTTTTGGGTGCCTACCGTATTTAGATATCTGATGTGCTCCGGGAGTGAAGTGGAGTAAATACCTTTTCCCATACATGTCATTAGGCAATTGATTTTTTTTTTATATAGATAGACAAATCGATATATTTAAAAAGGACCCATCCTTCCTCTTTTGCCATATATAATCAAACTGGTATTTTATTAAATGAAAGTACAGTATATTTTCTTTCTTTTGAAATAATAATGAAAGCTTGCGCTTACTGCTGGAATGTATTTTTGTAGGAAAAAAATCAAGTCATGTTGCACTTCCAGAGTTTTAGAGGAGAATTCTGATTTTGGTGGAGATGCTACAGTATTTTTTTATTAGAACAAAAGACCCCTCTTAATCCTTTCCCCATGCATTTATAACTGATAGTCTCCTCTGCTGAGATACTGGCTACAGGAAGAGGGGAAAATAATATCCAGTATGTAGGAAATAAACCTCTTACCCAGAAGCCCCACCTTTGCCAGTCTGCCATGATTTTTAAAGGTTTATAATCCCAGAACCTCTGTGGCAATTGCTAGATCGAAAAGTGATGAGAATGGTTTTTCAGACGCATTTATTTTACATGATTATATACACATGTTTATGCTCTAGTGGATCCTCTGCTTTAAAATCCATCTCTGTATTTTGATCAGTGTATCTGTTGCATGCTGTTGTGTGCTGTGTTTGAATTGAGAAGGAGTTATTTTCATTTTCTCCAGATCTGTATTTTTAATAATAAGCACTGAAGTTTGGTGCACCATTTTGTGTGTATTTTCTCTGTTCTATTTTTAAATAAAAAGAAACAAAAACAGGCTCTTCTCTTTAACCTGTGTGCATGAAGAGATTTAACATTTTTGTTTGTGTGAAAAGATTTTAACATTTATATATTTTGACTTATTTGCTGAGTGGTGTGGTAAACTAGTGGTGAAGAGTTAAATCTTAGGTAGTGGCAGATATTTCTCTCCTAGGGCACAAAGCAAAAATATCTGCTGCAAACTCCGCATGGCATCAGGAGGGGCATCCAGCCAGTAAGTGCTCAGCTCCATCCAGTTGCCCTAACTCTACCCCAAATTAAGGGATCACAGGGTCATAAAAAAGTTTATATGTGATTTATTCACTGCCTCAATCGTAGGGGATTGCTAATAAAATAAGATGAATACATTACATTGAATCATTACAATGAAAATTACAAATCATGGAAGTATTTGTACAGGAGTTTTTTTGTTTCTAAGGAAAAGGGTACTTTACCAAAAATCCACTTCTATTATTTATTTGTTTATTACCAAAATGGGCCAATGAGCATCACTTCGATGAGTCCAAGTTATCAGAACTGGCATGTCTCGACATTCTCTAACATTCTCTTCCAGATACATTGGGATCATATCCTAGAATTCAAAAATAGCAATCCTGTTGGAATTTTCATGTTGAGCAATCCTAGGAGCTACATCTAAACAATCTGGAAGATGCCAGGTCTAGAAAAGGTGGTGCAAATCACAGCTTCAGCCTCTGTATGGTTATCTACCATATTTTTTAAAACTTGTTATCCTGGGCACAGGTTCCATTGGACAAAACGATTCCTGAGGGGAAAAAAGAAGTAGGGATGTGTGCAAAGTGGTCAAAAAGTTCAAGATGGCAGCCACAATCATGTGGTCAATATAGCATCATATATTGCTGCATATATCTCAACTTTTTTAAACATACCCTGTATACAAGTTATATTCAGTAAGAGTCTCCAGTAAGCTAAAGGAGACAAACTAGTCATTTGGGTTGATACGGTTCTTTTTTAAATAACTGCCCCAGGATTGACAGCTTTATACAATCTGCAGCTAAATGATAATTTAGGCTTCACAGAACACACTACCCAGATACCAAGCAAACTACATCAGGGCTCAGCATATTGCATGAAAACCTATATTTAAATCCACATTTTATTTAAATTTATTGGCCATCCAGTTTCAGCAGACTGTACATGTAATGTTGCAAGGGGATTGCTGTTAGATCTTCCTCCCCTTTGCAATAATAAAAGCAGGAGAACCAATCTTGATATTCTCAGTGGGCTTTCAGCATGTGCCGACAGTTGTGAGGATCAAATGAAAGGTCAGTATCTAATTTCTATGTCTTCCACACCGGCATAGCAGCATCTGTCTACTTTCATAATTGGTTGTGGAGCTGGACTGTCTCCTGAGCTGTATTTCTCCTGGGGGGAAAAGCCCATTTAACAATGCAGATACAAAGCGTTTCTCAACGATGGCAATTTTAAGGAATGTGAAACTTTTAACTGCCAGAATTCCACAGCCAGCATACATGGATACTGCTCTAAGGACGCAACGATGGAAATCTCAAGTCCAGATTTGCCAGTTTTATTATTTGAGCCTTTTGATTGTAGGGAAAAGTTCTAAATCTTCATTTCTTACTTTATGTTAAAATCTGTATATCAATGAATTTCTTTTCATAAAGTACAGTCATTTTTGAACAGGCACCTTCATAGCCACCTTACAGCAAGCCAGCTGTGTTGCCATGCAAAGCCCGGAAGGGACCTGCCCTATTTTATCCAATGGCGAACGCGCATTCCTTATGTTGTCCTTAACTAAGATGGCTGCGAAATTTTCAGCGTCTCTATCCCGTGCTGCACACCTTTGACCTCTGCCTTAAAGTTACAGCCGACGTCTTTGCGGAACATGCGCCCTTGGGACCCAGCTTCTTTGCCTTTAAGTAAGATGGCAACCTTGTTCCTTACTTCCTACGTCTTGCCCTCAGTGGAGGCGGCAGAGCTGGCTTCTTTCGTCGCCCTGATTCTGCGCATGCGCCATTAACTTTGCAACGATACTTTCTTGCCCAAAAGGAAGATGGCCGCAGCCTGAAGCTGCGAAAAATCAGCTGAGGGGAAGCGACGGTTGGGGTATTCCGCGACCTGCTTTTCTCCTCCTCATGCGCCGCCGGGATGCTCTGCTCGAGCGGCTTCTTCCGCGGCATCGAATGTCCTTACGGGCAGGCCTGCGGGAGGCCTTACTGCCATTTCAGACACCCGCCCGGGGCCCAACACACCTCCGATGGCCCTATACCGCCTCGACGCCTTTTGGCCCTGTCTGCTCCCGACAGACGCCCCGCCACACTCGGAGGTAATCGGACAGCATGGCGACCTCTCCTCCAACTGCGGTCTGAGGAAAAAGCCCTCTCGCTACGTTCCGTGAACGCTGTTGAACTCGGGGCTGGAGACGAAAAGCATCGGCGTCCCTGTCTCGCGTCGGGTAAAGGCGGGGACGTGACTGGCTTTTCTTAGGTTAAAGAAATCCCCTGCAACAGCCACCCCCCCCCCGGCGGCTTTATAACCCCACCCTGTCTCGTGGGATGAGGTGTGGTCGGGGAGGGGATCATTTAGGCGAGGCTTCTCCCTCGCCCTGGTTTGGGGAAGGAGAACTAACCTTGTTAGTGTGAGGGAATTCCCCAAGAGTGTTTGGGATGGGAGGAAAGCAAAGGAGAGCTTCCCTTTTCCCGGAGCAGAATCGCTCGTACCCCAATGGGGTAGGCGGGAGCAGCCATTTACACGCGTGCAGCAGCTCTCCTGAACGGGGTGGGCAGAATGGAGCCTCCCGGGGCAATTACTCCTGCTCCCTGACTCCCATATCGCATCTGCGTAAGAAAAAATAATAAATAATGTGTACGTTCGTAAGTTATTGTAACCAATTAAAGAGGTTTTTTTTAAAAAAAAAAAACTTGTCCTGGAGAGAGAGAGAGAGAGAGAGAGAGAGTGTGTGTGTGTAGACACTTGCCTCCTACCATTCTATGCCTTCTCGATCCGCAGTTGCTTTGTTTGTACGAGGCTCTTTCCTCGCAAGGCACAATTTGTGGGAATCGGTGTCATGAAGTGTGGGCGTGGTCGTGTGTACAGTTAGCTTTAGAAATGGCGTGGTAATTAAATGGAGCCTCTGCATTTAGAAAAGGTTTTGTCCCTGACACTGTGCTGATACGGATGGGCAGAGTAAAAGGGGCCACTCTGCTTCCTGGCCTGCTTCAGGTTAGGTCAGTAAAGATGCAAGGTTTTGAAAACTAAGTTGCCAGCCTGCTTGCTAGGCCAGGGCTTTTCAACCTTTTCACCCATTGTACCACTTTTAGGATATGGCAATATCCGAGTACCACCAGTCGCCTAGCAAGGTGTTAAAAACTTGATGACCCCCCCAAAAAAAGGAAAAAAGTAATGAAGTACTGGTAGTCCTCGACTTACAACAATTCGCTTAGTAACTGTTCGAAGTTACAATGGCACTGAAAAAAGTGCTGAGCAAGACACCTGCCTGCCCACCCGGCGGCGCTCTTCCTCCTGTCCGAGGTTTTCATTGTTGTGAGCATTTCTGTTGAGGATTGGCAGTGAGGGTGGGATGGGGGGTGTTTGGTTTTTATTCCCCCCGTCTGCTGGCTGGTTGTAGCAGGTTTTGGTCACTTCACATGATCCTGGGACACTGTGACCGTCATAAATATGAATCAATTGCCAAGCATCTGAATGTAAATCACAAGACCCTGGAGATGCTGCAACATTCCAGCTGATCGGTGCTTCTTCTGGGCTCAGCAGAAGCGCCAGGATCAACGCCGAGCTTCAGCTGGAGCCTGGCGCTGATCCTGCCGCTTCCACTGAGCCCTGCAGCTCCAGCCATCTGTCGTTCAGGCTTGTGCGGTGCTGCCACCGGTTCAGCTCATTCCCCTCCCCCGCTAGAATGGTCGCGTACCACCTGCCAGGTGCCAATGTACCACAGGTGGTACCCGTACCACTGGTTGAAAAGCCTTGTGCTAGGTAGTTGCCACAGAGGCTTGCTTTTCCCAGTTGCTCCTGTGCTGTGCAAAAGAATAGACAATAGAAAATAGAATAGAATATAATTTTATTGTCACTTTAAATGTACACTAATCAGCATACATTAAAATGAAATTGCGTTGCATTATGCATACACACACACACACACACACACACATGGCACAGAGAAACATCACAGTCTAGTAGTTCGAATGTATACATATACATTCAGTTTCCAAGAAGGTGAATTGATAAGACGCCACTGCACTTTTTGGTTTAGTTTAAGTGGTTTTTAAAATTAAATTGGTGGGGAAAGGAACCTGGTAGGTAATGTTTATGGTCAGGGAAAAGTGTATATCATGCTTGTTCCTCCGAGCTATACAGATGTAACCTGGCTATAAGGTTCTTCCTGCTTTAAGATTATACAGGTAATCCTCAATTTATGACCACAATTGAGCCCAAAATTTCTATTGCTAAGCAAGTGAGTTGTGCCCCATTTTACAACCTTTTTGCCAGAGGTGTTAAGCGAATCACTTCAGTTAAGTGAATCTTGTGGTTGTTAAGTGAATCTGGCTTTGCATATCGGAAACCAGCTGGAAAGGTTACACATGGTAATCACATAACCTCAGGACAATGCAACTGTCATCAATACATGCCAGTTGCCAAGAGCCTGAATTTTGACCATATGATCATGGGGATGCTGCAGTGGTCATGTGAAACCGGTCATAAGTCGCTTTTTTCAGTACCATTGTAAATTTGAATGATCACTAAACAAATGGTTGTAAGTTGAGACTACCTATATCAGTGATGGCGAACCTTTTAGAGACTGAGTGCCCAAACTGCAACCCAAAACCCACTTATGCATCGTCGAGTGCCAGGTGGGTGTGGCCCATTGGGTGGGCGTGGCCCATTGGGTGGGCATGGCCCATTGGGTGGGTGTGGTTGCGGTGGTAACGGCAGACTGGGTGGGACTAAAAAGTTCAATCAATCAATTCCAACTTTGCAAGATCTTTTTTTTTCCTGCGAGAAGTTGAAATTGACTGATTGAACCTTTTTTTTTTTTTGCACATGGTGGCGGAGGCCTAAAGCGAAAAGGTTTTATAAAACCCAGCTGAAGGCCTAGGACTGGGGCAACGGCACGCGTCCACAGAGAGGGCTCTGAGTGCCGCCTCTGGCACCCGTGCCATAGGTTCGCCACCACTGACCTATATGATGTGTTTCTTTTTAATTTGACATGTGCATTTAATTTGACATGTGCATTCTTCTGCATCATAATGATATATTTGGTGGTGTTGCACATTGCCATTAAGTACTTTATATCCTCAAAGATTTATATAAAAAAAAAGATTTACAGAAGAGGAGCAAGCTTTACTGGACAAGACTGAGACTAACAGAGGATTTAAAAATGGCAGACTCCAGGATTGATATGGAAAAAGATGTACATTGGATATACCAATGAAATGGGCTGATGTCCTAAAAGAGATATATAAATAACAAATCCAAAAAACAAGCTGGATGACTCTCCTATATTGGATTTAGAAAGAGACTTGTTCAAGTTTTGAAGAATTTTGTGAGAAGGGAGAAAGAAAAATGAAAAGAAATCAAGTTCTAGGACAGTGGTTGAGATGTGTTTAAATATTAGTAGCTCTGAGCTTGGCGATTTGGTTGCAAACGTTTTGTTTCCATTCAGGAGGACATCTTCAGTGTGCTTTGAATTGTGCTCGTCTGTCAGAGCACCGCCCTTCAAACACCTTTTTGTGTGATATAAATTGGTGTGGGTGTTATTTGTCCAGAAGTTTCTGAGTGATGGTCTGGTTTCGGGCTGTTTGATTGGCTGGTTTTTGTTGATGGGCCATAGTCTTTAGTGTTTAAGCATCGTCCATGTGATGCAAATGGTGTTTGTTCATTTGGTTGCCTCTGAGTCATGGTCTGGTTTCGGGTTGTTTTGATGGCTGGCTGTCGTTGAGACATGGTCCAGCTTCTTGTGGGGGGTTGTGATTTTTGTTGTTGTGCGGCGGGGTGCCTGTTTGTTAGTTTTAAATGCTGCCTTTGGGATTGCGGTTGAAGTAGTTCTTTCGTTCTCAGTGGTTGGTAGATTGGGTTGATGTCAATGTGCCTGTTTATTGACTTATTGGTGGAGGACAGTTCTAGGACAGTATTTGCAGGGAATTATATATTAAGTTTGTTAAAAATAAAAGGAAGAATATAAAGTTGTTATATTTGATCAAGGTTAAAGTAAATATTAATATTGGAGAGTTTGGTATAGTGCATACCAAACTGACATCAGGCTAGAAACAGTGGGATCATGACTTCAAGGCCCAGCTTAGACCAAATGCCAGCTGGGTGACCTTGGACCACTCATTTTCTCTCAGCCCTTGGAAGAAGATAATGCAAACTGTTTCTGAAAAACCTTGCAACAAAACTGCAGGGACTTATCCAGGTATTCTCCAGGAATCAATCCAATTGAACAGAAGAAAACAAAAGGTATATTTATCTGTGATAACCCTTAATGGACTTTTGCTGGACAGGACTAAACAATGAGGTTTTAAGGATTTGTTTATGGATAAGAGATGATATATAGAGGAAGAGATAATTTGTATTTTAAGAGAAGATGATAAGTTATTAAAGCTGTTTATACTTAGATGGAGGGGGAAGTAATTTCTTATGTATGTTTTTTTCTTTACTATAATATATATTTTTTCTTTTCTATTTTTTCTGCACATTTTTCTCTTTCTTTTTTTAGTTCATATTAGTTTATATCTTTTCAATTGTAATTTATAAAAAACATTACTATAAAAAGGTTTATAAAATGTTTTTTTTTAGGTCTTCCTATCTTTTATGAGGAATAATCTTGCTAGCTAATGGCTGATGCAAACTTAAGGTTTATATACAGATTAGAAGTTGCTCATATATAGTACCATATATAAAGGGGCTGTATCATAGAATAATGTGTTTGCACATTGGCATAATGCAATCAGAGACAACTTATGGATCAATATCAGTGCTTCTTAAAAACTAATTCTTCTTGGCTGCCATAACAAAGGCTGGTCTAAAACTGCTTTGGTAGAGATTTCTCCGAAATGATGATGATGATGATGATGATGATGATGATGATGATGATGATGATGATGATGTTGGAAGGGACCTTGGAGGTCATCGAGTCCAACCCCCTGCTCAGGCAGGAAACCCTATACCATTTCAGACAAATGGCTGTCCAGTCTCTTTTTAAAAACTTCCAGTGTTGGAGCATTCACCGCTTCTGGAGGCAGGTTGTTCCACTGGTTAATTGTTCTAACTGTCAGGAAGTTTCTCCTTAGTTCAAGGTTGCTTCTCTCCTTG